GGATGGGTCATTTTCGACCTGGAGGGATGTGGCCAGTGGGGTCCCCCAGGGCTCGGTCCTCAGGCCCGCACCGTTCAACATCTTCATCAGCGACTTGGATGAGGGGGTAAAAAGCACCCTGTTCAGATTTGCTGATGACACTAAGATGTGGGGGGATGTGGGCATGCTAGAAGGGAGGAATAGGCTGCAATCGGACCTAGACAGGTTACAAGGGTAGGCAGATGAGAATAGGATGGGACTCAACACTGACAAGTGCAAGGTGATGCACCTGGGGAGGAACAACCGGCACCATACCTACAGGCTGGGGAACTCCCTTCTCATCAGTACAGAGGCAGAAAAGGATCTTGGAGTCATCATTGATGCCAAGATGAACCTGGGCTGGCAGTGTGGGGATGCAGTCAGGAAGGCCAACCGCACCTTGTCATGCATCCACAGATGCATCTCGAGCAGGTCCAAGGAGGTGATCCTCCCCCTCTATGCGGCACTGGTCAGGCCGCAGCTGGAGTACTGCGTCCAGTTGTGGGTGCCCCACTTCAGGAGGGATGTGGACAACATGGAGAGGGTCCAGAGGAGGCCACTTACATGGTCAGGGGGCAGCAGGGCAGGCCCTACGAAGAGAGGTTATGGGACCTGAACCTGTTCAGCCTCCACAAGAGAAGGCTGAGGGGGGATCTAGTGGCCTGTTACAAACTAGCCAGGGGAGATCATCAGGCACTGGGGGAGTCCCTGTTCCCCTGAGCACTGCCAGGAGTGACCAGGAATAACGGTCACAAGCTGGCAGAGGGTAGATTTAGGCTAGATATCAGGAGGCGCGACTTCACGGTCAGGGCGGCTAGGATTTAGAACCATCTTCCAAGAGAAGTGGTGCTGGCTCCTACCTTGGGGGTCTTTAGGACAAGGCTCAACAATCATGTTGCTGGGGTCGTCTGACCCCAGTACTCTTTCCTGCCATGGCAGGGGTCGGACTTGATGATCTGCTCAGGTCCCTTCTGACCCTTGAAACTATGAGACTATGAAACTATGGCTGCACTTTGACTGGCCCCGGGTAGAAAGGGGCAGAGCCAGTTTGAGTATTGCTGGGCTCTGCTTAGGCATAAGCTGAGGGTGAGGAGGCTGCAGAAAACAGTGTGACTGCTGCTCATGCACGTTTCATCGTGCAGCTGGTTATGCTCAGAAACGGAAAGCCCTCCAGGGCTTGTTGTTTTTGTCATGCTGCTGCTTCCTCTACCTTCCCTCTGTCCCCTATCTCCGCCTTCAGTGTCATGCCTTCAAAGCATGCTGTTACAGAGCCTGGCTCTGGGAACATTTTTTTTTCTGGGACTGTTTGTCCCACTGATGCAGAAAACTAAGTGCCCACGATGCGAGGCCCCGCTGCTAGATCTTTCCTCCGGCTGCCTGGGGTGATGCTGCAGGGGGATATATTTTTTCAATTGTTATTTCATTAGCATATGTTTTATTGCACAGTCATGCCAAGCGTTATTTCTGGCAATGACTTCACGTCCATGCCTTTGGAAAGCCACACCATCCAAGGAGGAGGGGGAAAAACCCATAGGAGCTGTCATTACAGTTGGGGCACGTGGGAAAGATCAACTTTCCAGACGCTGCAAAGATACGATCTATTAATCACAAAGTGATTCATGCTGCGTAACGTCTTGACTCAGTGACTGTGTCCTCTGGACTGAAATTTAAAATGAAAATGATTCTGACAAGTCAGTTATAGTTGATGAGCGTCACTTGAAGGCAGGCATGCCTTGGCTAATGTGAGCAAGATCGCTGGAGAGGGCAAAATGATTGTCACAGAGTGTGTGGCGGGGGAAATGTGTCTGTCAGTGAGTGTCACAGCTTCATGTTTTCATTTTGGCTCAGGAGAGCAAATGAAAGGAAGTGTTGTCAAAAGAGATGACACGTGGAGGAGTTGCCCGTACACACCCATATGCCCATACAACATAACGTTGAGGTTTGGCATTCGTCTGATGACAGAACTGGCAAATCTGGAGCCACGAATAAAACGCTGGCCAGATGTTTTCCCAGCCCTGCAATGCTACTACTGAATTGTGCAATACGTGCGTGCCCCCAGAATCCTACCTTTGTGCAAATTATTGTTTGGGCGTGTAAATTAAGTGATTTTATGTGTACGTCCTTGAATGACGCGTTCAATTATGCGATCTGTTGTTTTGTGGATTATTTGCATCTTGATAGCGCCTGGAGACTCTGACCACAACATGGGACCGCTATATTGCGAGGCAATACACATGCAGTTGGAGCTGATCGTTGCCCCAAGGACCCGACATTATAAATAGAGCAGCCTGGTAAAAAGTGGAAGGGGAGATTGAAGCATATGACAGTGAAGGGACCCACCTATGGTCATACAGTAGCTTAGTGGAGCTGGGAATACAAGTCGAGTGACTTAATTCTAGCCCCCTGCCCCACCGCTGGTCCTACATTGCCTTTAAGTACGTGCAAGAGTGAGGCTATATCTGTGCAGTGGGCTTCATGGTTTGTCTCACTGTGTTCGGACATCCTGTCATGCCTAATGGCTGTAGCTCATGTCATACTAGCTCTCTTTATTGTTGCCTTTCAGATGATTTATTTGTGGAACCCAAGGGAAAAAGGAAAAAAAAAGGCAACCAACCAATCATCTTAACCTCAATAAAACTAACTTCTACAGGCGTCACTAGATAATTGCAACTTCCTCCAGAAATGGGAGCAGCCAGTGCGTCAGGAATAAACTAGACAAAACAAAGAGAAGACAAAAGCAAAGCCACTGAGGACAAAATCCTGCAAGTGTCTGCTTCTGGGTGCCGCGCTTCCTGCAGTGACGGTCCTGTTTCTGTGTCGTATGTAGTTCCTCTGCTCTCTGGTGCATGCTGTAGAAGAGTCTGTCTACCGTAGTGTCTACTCCATGTACTACCCTTTTTATGCCAGTAGTAAGGATATGTAAGAACTCGTCCTAATAGACCTTGTGTCTTGCCCTGAATCTAGATTCATATTTTGGTGGACCCGCTAGGGAAGTACATACCCTGATGCCATCCATGCAAAGGATTCATGGTTAGAAGAACATACTGATGCGGGTAGGGAAATTCCAACGTTTCAACCTTTGTTTTCATTTCCCAGAAGATGAAACATTGAAATACGGACATTTGTTGGTGGAACAGAAATCCTGAAGAATGGCAGTTGAGAAACATCAAAATGAAACATTCTTGAAATTAAAATATTTCTTTTTTGGGTTCCCAAACTGGCACAACATACTTGTTTTGAGCCCATTCAACATCATGCAACCCTGAGCTGTGTTGCTTCATAGGAGTCTGGGAGCCCCCATCCTCTTTCATCAGCCAAGCTCCTGGCGCTGAACAGTGTCTTCCATCATGCACCAAGAACCATGTTATTAAGATGCACCGTGAAACTTGATCAGAAGGAAATCTGCATTGAGTTATGGGCCAAGACTTTAATCTTCCAGGAGCCAAGCTCATAGGAGAGAACTGGAACCCAGACTGTAACATCCCTAAGGCAACCTGTCAATAGGGAGCTATAGTATAAGGTTTGTTGAACTGATTAACAATGAGCCAGTTCAGCAAAATCAAGTATGCTGATATTTAAATATTTCTACCAACCAAATGAAATGGTTCCTTTGATATTCCGAAATGGAAATGCATTTTCCAGTGGACAGTGCTCACCTGGCTGTAGTCAAAAGTGTGGCCTAATCTAGGGCATGATCCAGCGGTCACTGAAATCAGTAGAAGTTTTTCCAGTCATTTCAGTGACATTGGCCCATGTCCAATGCTGTCATTTCAGGCAAGTTAACGTCAAGAACAGATTCCTAAACTGTTAGTGAAATGTTAATGATTCAGAATTTGTTTCTATGAGAAAGTTGCACTTGTTTAATTGCAGGTGTGATTTAAAACCAAATTGGATGGACCAATTCAGGATGGACAAAATGCCTTGTAATATAAAACGGGCCCTGTAGGGCAGATGAGTTGCCCAGAACCAGTCCATGGGCTGGAGGAACAGGCCTATGGACATGTTCCCACCCCACACACTGGATCCAGTGCCAGTCTGGGTCATGGCGTCTACTCCAGCCTGTTCAGGAATGACCTGCAGCATGGGTGCCAGATCCAGCATGCAGGGAACTCATGGAGCTCCTGCTCCCTGTTACATTGGATCCAGTGTATGCTCTGGTTGGTCTGGGACTGTATGGTTCAGGATCCAGTATGTTGTGGAGGGGAAGAAGGAGAGGCCTGGGCTGGCCCCGTAAAAGGATCAGCGCTGAGAGCAAGATGATGTGGCTCAGTGGGCTGTATATTTGACACCCTTGGTATAAATTAATCATGTGTATGATTGTTGTGCTGAAATAGTGGTGGTATCTTGTGACTTGTCTAGGGGAGGGAACAGAGAAGTCAGGAGATGGAGTGGTTACATGTTTCTTAAGAACAGGTTGCTTAGGAAAAGTTTTCTTAAAAAGAAGAGGTTTAAGACAAAGTACAATAGGCTGAAGGCCACCTCAGTTGTTTCATGTAAGTTTTAGCTGGATGTAGATGTGGAAAACTGTATAGTAAGAACGGGTTTTGCAAAACAAGGTGTGTGTTGGAGTTTACTGAGAGCAGCTGATATTTAGAAGACAATGGTTTTCAAGTGTTACCATGTGGTTGCATGAGATATATTGATGTCCTATACTTGGGGTAAGAATTATCAGCTTTATCTCAGCTGCCATTGTGTGTTAACTGTTCATAAATGTTGATTCCTTTTTAAAGCAGAGCTCTGCAGCTGTAATAAGGTTGGTGATACAAAAGATTGAATAATGTAGGTTGAATTTTCTTTTTGGGAAGGAAAAAAAATCAATCCATGCCTCATGAGCCTTGATGAAAATGGTATGATGGGGGAAAAAAAGGTGGGGAGTAGCAGTGCAGCCATCACAAAATAGCCCTGCTCCTTAATTTTTGTAAAGAAGAGTTAATAATAGAAATCAGCGAGGGAAAGAAGCTTTCAAAATAAAAATAATGTACCTGTCCTGCGGTATCATATAGTCCCAGCAAGTGCTGCTTTCCTCCGACAGTCACAGTTACTGGAAGAGAGAGGCAACACAGGTTATTTGTGAGGTGCATGTGCCAGCCAGTGGTTATGATTTTACATGCTTTAATCCTTGCGTGCCAACACTCCCTTATGCGAGGCAGATTAGCGTGTGCCTTACAATGTGCATCCTACTGTACGTCGGCAGAATCCTCCCCAAATGAAGGCAATGTAACGGCACAGCAAAAGCAGATGGTTTGAGCTGAGCTCTTGTTTCTTAACAGCTAGACAAGATGCGAATTGGGTTTTGTTTGGGTATCCGGAGATCTAAGGACATGTGCTAATGTCTCTAAGACCACCAGCTGATACCTGCTAGACATTAGCAGGGGGACCCTTCCTCCCCACTGGGTCTGTTTGGGTTATGTCTAGTCTCAGTGCAGGCTGTGTTCAGAGCCTTTTTCCTATCTTCATTCCAGTGCTATGAAACAACGATGTATTTGGGACCGAGTAATATTCACTAGGCATCAGCATCAGTGCATTACCTTTGTGCGCTGCCGTTGGGCGCTGTGCCATTTGAGTGGATGCTGTGACACTGCTCTAAATGCTAGTGCTTCCTGTATAACTTGGAGCTGTAGCGCAGCGTTTTCACCAGCTTTCTTAGCAAGTGAAATAAGGAAGGTTTATTGATTGATTGTTGCTATAATTCAGCAAAATACTCCAATAGTTGAATCCACTTTGGGCCTCATACAAAGCCTGGTGAAATCAATAAAAAGACTCTTATTGAATTCAATAGATTTTGGATAAATTCCTTATTGATTGCAGAGATCAAATCACTCTAATTTTACTTAAAAATGTATGCGGCTTCGGTGGAGTTTAGTGATCTGTTTAATATGCCCCAATCATTAAAGTTTAATGGAAGGGGAGTGAACTGGGAAAAAAACCCAAACCCCAGTCCCCATTACTCAATGGGAAATGATGCTAAATGTGTATCAGGAGAGTCATATTAGACTGCTCATAATAATACTGCTTAAAATTATTCACTGGGCACATAGGATATTAGTGTGTCTCGGAGCACTTGGGTTAAAAGGCCCAGATGAATGCAGAGGTGTAGCTGGGGAAGGCTGACTTGGATGCGTATTTGCTGACTTTGTCAGCTATTAATGAGAATTGGAAAGGTTAAGCGTTAGGGGTGGGAAAGCATGGGGCTTGAAAACATTTAAAGGCCTTGGCTGCCAAGTTGACGGGAGAAGTCTTTTGCTGAGGAAAGCACCGCACGACTACAGAAACGAATGGTCACTTCTGGGGAGGACACTTCTGTGCAGAATCTGTTACATGGAGCAACTCTACTGGTGCGGCTGGACAGGCCGATCACTCAGCAGGTGTAAGAGCTCACACAACTATCTAGTCATTTGGATAAGGGATAAACAGAGTAAAAACTGGCCACCCAACCCACAGCTGAAAAGAAAGCGCAACACACTGGTGCAACAGTAAGAGTCAGATCCTTAGTTCCAGCTAAGCTGTGCCTGCCACAGGTGCTGGAGGTGGGGGATTGAAGGAAGTGGCTTAGAGACATTTTACACCCCTGCATTTGGGGCAGCTGGTGGAGAGTATGGCTCAGAGTGACTTAAAGCATCCTCAACCTCTAGAAAAAGTCCCCAGAGGTTGCTGGGCCAGCCTTGGTTCATGGGTGTGCAGGGCACTTCAGCCCGTACCTCCACTGCCACTGCCACTGCCCCACCTTTGAATGTCCCTGCGTTGGGAGGGCAGGAGCAGAGCTGTCTGTATTGACTTGATGGGACCGAGGAATCCCCCCTACAAGAGAAATCCCCAGCCCGGACAGTTTTCCAGCTGTTTTGCATCGTCTGAGCAGAGCTAGCCAGATGCAGGTGATGTTTTTGGGTTCAGTGGTGTATTTAGGACTTAAATAGCCTCTGAAATGCAGCGGTCTTTCCTGCCCAAGTGCAGGGGGGCTGGACCCAATGATCTGCAAGGTCCATTCCAGCCCCTAACAACTATGAAACGATGAAGACATACCAGCTGTAGGCCAGCTCCACCATGTTATTTATTGCTTTTCCCTACAAAAACCACAGACCTCATGTGACTCACTCCAGCCATTATCTTGCAGGGAAGCAGGTAAGTTGGCCTGCTGATTGTTTGCAGAGCCATATGATTTTTCTCTTCAGCTCCATAATACAGTTCTGGCATGATGAGCTATAGAAATGTTGCCAAAGTGGAAAAGGAATCTGATGCATATTGGCAGGAACTAAACTGTCCAGAAATGCTTTAGTTACTGAGGATCCAAATTCCTGCTGAAAGTCACTGCAACCAGGTCTGGTCTGCCCTACTGAGTTTCGCTGGGCCTGTTTTGTTGGTTATAGATGGATGAGGGGAGCCCGCTGACCAACAGAAGCGTGCTGGTGTCCTGCTGTAGATGCAAAGGGTTGTTTTTCTAATATATTGCATTTGACTTGGGTGGGAGGGGAGGTAGAGCCTGAAATAAGTTATACTAATAAAAAGCAGTTTTGCCCATGCACTGGGTGTGCACTACATACGCTTTGCTGGTATAATATCTTAGTGTAGCTATACTGACTAATGGTCCTTACTCCATGCAGTGCCTGTGACTAGTCCTGTGCATGTCAGGCGTGAGCATGCCCTGTTCATATTCTACCCTCTCGAATCCACTGATGCACTTCAGGCCCAGATGCTCATCAGGCTGCTCCAGACTTTCCTAGTGACTGCTTTCAGGTATGCCGGAAACTGAGGACTCAAGCTTGGGCACTGGGGACAAGCCCGGGGTAACCTCGCCGTTGAACATTTGGGCCTAGAACATGTCTATGGACTTGGGTCTGGAACATGTCTATGAGTGGGGAGTGCTGGGGCCCTCTGGATCCAGGACACAGTGCTTGCCTAACTTAGAGAAGCCTTCAGACCTTTTAGTCTAGTACCATTTCTGCGGTGTTCCCAAATGTCACTAAGAAGCACAGTCCCACTCTGCACATGCCAAACCCAGAAATGGTGCAACAACATGTCCCTAAGGGCATCTTCCTCTCCCCCTGCAGTGCTCACAAGATCCCAGTTTTTGCTGCCTGTGCAAGCGGTGTGGGGGAAGAGGAGGTTGTTTCTGGGTTTGGTACGTATGGGCTGAGAGTGGGTGAGCAGAGCGTGTGCCATGAAAGCAATATAGACGTGTGCCTTAAGGCTCTTGAAAAAAATCATACAACCTGCCCAGGAAGACAAATGTTTTTGCTGTTTCAATCCTAGTGACTGTCCATACTGATTTGGTGGCAGATCCATGTACTACACTACAGTGACCCTCTCACTTCCTTTCTCTAATTTCTCCCCAGTTGAACCACAGTCTTGTATCACTAGTTGCTGAGGCTTCCTTAAATGTTTGCTCATGATCTGAATATATCGTGCACATTCCCAGTCTGTTTTATAGTCCTCCCTCTCTGGGTACAGCTCTGTTGAAACGACTGTGCAGGTATCCTGCCATACCTTGTCTGCCTCCTGCCGTACCTGGTACTCTGGCTTTGCTCCCAGGCTCGGATGCTGCCAGATCACTAGCAAGTCAGTAAAACTGGGATGCCTTCTGGCTCTTGGTGCGTGATGTCTAGGTCATGATGTATTGCTACTAGAGCTTCCATGAGGCTCACTCAGCAGAGGAGAGTTTGGTCAGTGAAGATCTCATAGCATCTGGTACAAGCTGGTCAATATGCCTTACGAGAGACTATTCTGTGTGTCTGCGCTCATAGACTGATAAGTCATATCATTGACCATAGTGAGCAGAACATGTTTTTGACTGCAGCTGCTTTGGCAGATTTACAAGCCCTGTTAGTGGCCAGCATGCCCCTGGCAGTGTACACAAGTATTGTTCTTGCACCACAGTTGCTTCTACCATCCCCAATGACTCCAGCATTTCATACCACAGCATGGAATTGCCATCAAAGCATCAGATGTGATGCAGGCTGATTCACACAAACACGACCAGTAGATTCATAACCATTTGAGATGAGCAAAGGATCACCTAATGTTCATTGTCATTCACTACCCATTCCGGCCAAACCATGACGATTACACAGTATGTACAGTTTTGAGATAATAGGCTTGGTCAACAGAGGTCTTTTAGATTACTGGCTCAATTAATTAAGCATCAAGATATATCCTTTAACACAGAGGTTGCTTTTGGGCAGAATATGACTGAGCCCTTCTATGATTTAGTCTCTGGTTGCATTAGACCATGTAATAGGATGGCAGTATCCCCCTTCTCACTGTCAGAAGAAGTGCATACAGTCTGGGTCTCTGGTATGGCATATGTTGCTACATATTGCCTAAAATATTACTTGGGAGCTCCACATTTTTATTAGAACAATCTGTAGGTGCTATGGTTCCCTGTGATAGTATTGTGATTTTTTTCCCCTTTAAATTTGTATTGCTAAAATTGCCTGACATGTACCTATCCAGGTCAGTAATGCCCCTTCTGAGCACTCCCCAGCTATATTTCAGTGAGGTCTGTCTCCTCTCCTGTGGGTCATTTCCTCATGGCAAAAGCCACCTGGGGTTGTCGCCCTTGTTGCCATTATTAAAAATGGAGCTTATCTTTCAAAAGGCCCATTGGCTTTACCAGGAAAAGGGCGATGCAGGATGTCTGCTGACATCTGCACACAAGTGTCATTTGTAACATCAGATGAAGGTTTCATAGCTCAAATTGCTTGCAAGTCGGAAGGAGAGAATCATAGATCTCAGTGAGTTTTTCACGGCTTGGGAGAGGTGTGCATGGAAGCAAAGACAATTTGAAGAGGTTTTACTAAACTTCTAACTAATATACGCATGGGAAACAGGAACTGTTTCATATGATACCAGAGCAGAGCAACAGTTTATCCAGTCCAGTATCATTTTTTCTAATAGAGGCCAGCACTTGAGAGACGGATGCAAAAAATCTTGCAGTTATGGCTTAAACTGCCCATGAGGAAAGTATTTTCCTGTCTCCCATCCATTAGAGGCTGTGACAGCTTTGTAATAGAAATCCAAAGTACAGCAAGTCTTTTAGGGCTGGTC